AGGTGGAATCGTGGCTAGAAGTTAGTTTGCTCAGTGACTGAGGTTAGACTGACAAGCCTCTTGCCCTTTTTCAAGATAGGCAATATCCTTCTTGAGAAGTGTTTGGAAACCAGGAATGCTGCAGTGGATGATGAGGGATGCTCATAAATAAGGCTTTCAATACCCTACTCCCTGGTGGTGCAGTTAACACTGCGGTGCCAGCATAAACAGGCATTTCCCTTCTACCCCCAGTCTTCTCAATTGTGTCAGTCTGCAAGGTGATGAAGATAAAAAGATTGCAGAACTGATCTGAATTAAAAATGACACTAAAACAATCATTCATTTTAACTTGGGCTGAGTCTGACAAATAGTCACAGCACCTATGCCAGCACAACAAAGGTGGTAGCATGAGAAAACAAACAGCAAGAAGGAAGCTGGCAGGGCTGCCAGAAGAAACTCTTGTCTAACTACGATATAATTTGAATTGTAGACCTTTGCACTAGAGGCTCCTTCCATTCCTCCACCACAAACTGGATCTCCAATCAAATACTATGACTGGGTAAAATTACAGCAACATGATATGGACTGAATGGGAGAGGCAAACAGGAAAAGAAGCAAGCAAGAAATATTAACACAGTAATGCAGTTTATTAAACTGCTTTAGTGGTATCTCTGCTGAATGTGGTTGAGCCCTTCTCCTCCCAAAATGTTCAAATTAGGGAACTAACTGGAATACAGTCTTCCAACCCTGCACCCATGTCTTCTACCTGTGAAAAAAAAAATTCTACAAGTGGATAGGGAATTTGCTCTGGTCTTTCTGTGATGTAGGGATGGGACACATGACCCTTCAAATTTTTTTAAGTTAGATATATACTTATCCTTAGCTAAGGATGTTGTTCTTTTTTTTTATTCAGCTGTCTGAATTCTTGTTCTGTCAACATTGAAGAAGCCAACGTTTTTGGGTGGTACTGCATAGAAAACGGAGAAAAAGACATCTGAATGATGAACAGGTTAAGAGAGCCCTGGACACCGTAACTTTATTTCTCAAAGATTTCTAACCATGCTTCTCTCTAACTCCAGAAATAAGGAAAAAGCTGACAGCTAAAATGCTATCTCTATCCAGTTTATGTTTTAGACAGTCTTACAAAATTGGAAGAAAACAAACCTGTATAAGAATCAAGGTACAACGTATGTTTGGCAATAACCTGGTTTGAGATTTCTGGTTGCTATTTCCACATAAATAATGCCATCTTTACTTCTCACAACTACTATTCAAGAATCTAGCATAAGCTTTAAGAAGTTTAAAAGAAGCTGTAATGGATGCAAACTGGACACATCTGGAGTGGGAATGAAGACCATGGAGCAGAACGGCACTTCACTGACAGCCATCTTTAAGGGCTCACACAAGGTTTCTAATGTCTGTTTTCTAAAAAACCCAACCTGTCCCTTCCCCCTCAATCTGCTAAACACAGTGCACTCCTTTCTCTAGCAAATACAGTTACAGTTCTGCTTCAACCACATCTTCTGAACACAGAAAGGTAATTTACTTGTAACTGCTGATCAAGATGCCGTGGTAGTGTTTACTTTTGGATGAAACCAGGACACAGCGTGCACTTGAGACCAAAGAAATTCCATCTCAGCAACACCCACCTACTTGTGTGCCACACCTGAGGCTGTGAACAGGGCAGAGCATGCCCTGCATCCCCTCCAAACCCAAAGCCTGGAAATCCCTCTTTGTGAATATGCACGTAGGCAACACAAGCCATAGGAAAAGAAATGGGGAAGATAAACAACCTTTCTTTCTCTGGCAAATGCATGGCTATCCATACACACATTTGCAGTAGGACACCACTGTTTGCACATTAATAAAAGCCTTTTTTTTTTTTCTTTTGGAAATGAAGCATGTCTTTAGTATAATACCAAGGAAAAAGGGGTAAAGAGAGCATTTAAATACTCTGAAATCCAAGAAAGCATTTCCAAGAATTTAAAAGCTGCCCTTGAACCCATTGCAGAATACAGACTCATCTCTCAGAAGAAACAGCTGTCTTTGAGGGACTAAATCCATCCAGAATAAACAGCTGACCACAGCCCGAAGTTCTCCTGAAAGCAAAGCCTACGTATAGCCACATCATTGTCCTGGTTAAAGATATTTCAAGTCAAATAGCAAGGAAATCATACCTTTAGCCTCATCACTTAAAAGACTCTGAGCGAAAGCGAAGTTCTGTTCATCTGAGCTTAACAACATGAGTTTTTTAATGAAAAGGGTTTCACCTCATGATCAAGGATTTGTGTGTAAGGTATACAGCTAAAGCACTGTTTCCACTCTACTCTTAGGAAGTCATAAAATATTACCTTTTTTTTAAAGGCAAAAGCACCTTTCCTCATTTCTTATGACTGTCAAACATATTTTCCATTGACAAAGGCAAACTTGACTTTGTTAGAAATCACAAATCAGAAAACAAAATTCCACCCTTGCTTTCCCTTGGTATTAGTACATTCCACAAAGTCCTCTGCTTTACCAGCAGAAAAATCTTTAATTGGCTCTTCTGGAGATTTCAGACCAAGTCTGACTTCCTTTGAATACTGGAAAGGATCCTCGGATATCATCCCAAAAATAGTGTTAACCAGGGAGTAGTCCTGAAAAGCCTTTTTTTCTTTTCCTTTTAATTGCAGAGCTGTCTCAAAGACATTCACCTCTGAATATTCTTACAGAGCTCCCTGGAAACAAGTCAAAGGCCAAACCAAGCACTAGTCTCCTTCTCAGTTTGCAATTCTAAAACTAAGTCATGAAAACCTTAAAGGCTATTTTAATCTTAAATTATTCGGCTTGGTCAAAGAGCAGTCATTCCAATGGAATGTAGGCTTGTACTCCAACAAGAGTTTACTGTTTCTAAAATAAATGTCAGGACATGGTAATACATCACTGCTAAATCTTTACTGCAGAGTACCTGCACATTCAATAGTCATTGTCCCAGTTTAACAAAGTAAAAAAAGAACCACAGCTGTCAGAAGAACAACGTTTATTAGCAACCCAGCACATTCTTCTTTATCAGGAAAGGAGAATGATACAAAAATCCCATTACTTTTAGAAACAACCATCCAGTTAAATGTGCATGTAAGAAAACTAAAAATTAAGGCAAGCCTTGAGTAACTGCTATATGCCTGTTCATTTAATCCTGCTTTTATAAAAAATGACACGTTTTTGCTTAAAAGAAGGATATGTAAAACTGCAAATTGAACTCAGCACTGAATTTCTTACAGGGAGTGTAAGTTTTGGATCCTTAAAGCCCATAACCACAGGTATTTCTGAGCTGGAGAAACCAGAGATAGAATCTCTGCTTTTGTTTTTCAAGTTTCTACACACTTCTTTGGAAAGAAAACTTCCAAGTACCATATAAAGAACCCTAGACATTCATCCACAGTAGAGGCTTGCAAAGTTAAAAATATACTGAGACATAGTTCCTCTTCCCTTGTACCAAGTAGTATACTTTATGAAATGAATCAATCACATTAGATATATCAAACCACTATACTGAAGCCAGGGAGCAAAGATGTTTCAAGTGGCACCCAAAAAACTCTATTCCATGTAAAATAAGTATATGCACTATTGATGATGATTCCCATTGTTGTACCTCTAATCTGCCTGCTCATCAGGTTATCCCCTAAATGCAGATATGAGCTTATTAAATTGACAAGACAGAAATTTTCTGACCATCGCAAATGAAAATCCTTGACTTTCACAGGTCTGTGATCAATGTCACAAGATCTACTCCACTCTAGGAATGTTGTTAGGTCTTTTCATATGCAGTCATGCTAGAAAATAAACAGTAAGAAAAGAAAACATTCAAAATACTTTGATCTTTTTGACTTGGTTTTCTCTTGCACAAAGGAAACAATAGTGGTCAGGAAGAGACAACAGGTCTCCTTAACTCCAACAACACTTCAGCAGATTGGAATCATGTTTTTGTAGTGGAATTTGAAGTACCGTGCAGAGAATACAAATGTTAGAAGGAATGAGCAGATGGGAACCTGCTTCTACAGTAAGAACCTCACAGAAGAAAACAACCCCACACACCACCTACCACCATGCAAGATCCTGCTCCTGGAGGATAATTAAAAAACAAGCAAACTATAAAGATTTAAAAGCATCTGACATGTTAAACTGAGCTTCATTTCAGTTTAAATACAGCAACACCTCAGAAATTGAAATAATAACTGTAGCAAATGGTAAGTAAGGGTTGCAGCACTAGAGTAAACACTGGGTTTACATGCATACATAACATTTCCACATATCTCTAAGATTACAGATACCTAAAGTTATTCTTAAAAAAATCCCAACCTTCTGTATTTTTGCATAGATTAACTGAAGGAAAACATGTAAATAGAAGCAGCAGGTGACTATCAGGAGGGGGGAGGGCAGTAAAGGGACTTACTGGGGCAAGAAAGGACACTTCAGCTGAATTTCCCCACAGTGAGGAGGAATGAATTTCCAAACAAGACTATTTTGTTAACAAGTCATGTACACATTACATTTAAACATTTTAAACATGTACATATACACATCTTAAATTTAAACATGTAAAAAAAATTTTTTTTAAATCATAACTTTTAAAAGCATCACTTAATGTCACCTTTATCCCAGAATTTCTGCCATCCTGGCATCAGGTGCCGCACAGGCTTTTGTGGAGTATAAAGTGGTAAAAGTCAACTGACATACATTGGTAGTAGTATCTAGACTGATAACCACTCTTACAAATTTCAAGTTTCTATTCAGAAAAAAAGGGAAGAGCTCTTATTTCTTTAAGATAATACACAATCACACATCAGGGTTTTGTGTTTTCAAGGCAAGTTGGTACCACTTCAAGCTTCTTCTAGAGTTACAATATACAACATGTAAAGATTCTTTTAAAATAAACCACAAAATTGTGTTTGTTTGCTTCCAGACTTTTAGCTCCCATTTTTTTGATCATGAAGTTAACGCTTACCCTAAGGATGGCATAAGAATGCTAAAATCAGACTTACTCGGACATCAGTAGCATCTCCATGCCGGATAATGATGGCCCACGTTGTCGGTTCACTGCTATTTTCAAAGTAGTGAAAAACCTTTAAGACTCGTTCCATGGTCCCTGGGGAACGCTCCATCCCAGTACTGAGGTGTGTCTTTGCACTTGAACTTGGTGTATGATTCAAGTTTGGATCAAGATAAGCTGCTGCCATGGTTTTGCTAGATGCTAGGTATCTGTCATATTCTAGGAAAGAATAACACAAAATAAAATTAGTATTAGTTATAACTGAATCTTACACCAACTCATACAAATCATTTACCAGAAATCCATGAAGACTCATTTTTAAAGGATATTTAGTTGCCTTTTTTGGAGGCCCCTCTACAAACATAAAAAACCTACCCAGATGATTACGAGAGAAACTGCAAGCCCCTTGAATAAAGTAATTTGAATTTGAACAACACAATCATTAACAAAAATAGTACCTCTAACAAGACTTCTTCCTTTAATTCCTTAATGACTTAACTCAGCCCCCTGCCAAAGCCTTCAAGACAAAATATTGCCTTCCAGTTTTTCACAGAAGTTCCCATCCCTAAAATCTGCCAAGTCTGGTCTTGCAACAAAGCCTCTAAAGATCAGCACATGGAAAACCTGACAGCTCAGTCACCAAACTGGAAGCTCTCCAGTAAGAAGCCACACACCACCAGGCTCTCCTATTTAAGGCTAAAAGATTGTCACATCACTTGCTTCATGCTATTTTGGAAACCAGTGCAACTCAAAACCATCCAGAGCTAAATTCATTATTCACTGAGGAACAATTAAGACCACCACTGTCCCTCCTTTCATCAACTGCTAAATAACTGAGTAAGTTTTATCATTAACTAGCCTGGTTTCCAAGTGATTTCCAAGTCTGGTGGCAAAAGGCATGGACCATGCTATGAGTCTGCATCTCAAAGAAAAAAATTGCCTCTTGGCTACTGCTGCCAATTAGTCAGCCATAAGCAGATGGTGTCTGAGAAATCAATGCTGTACAAGAGGAAAAGAGCAAACAATACCTCCTCCCTCGCCTGACATAGTCTCAAGCATCATTCCAGTCTGCTGGCTGGAAAGAGCAAAGAACTGCAGGGCTTTGCTCCAGGACTTGGACAAGTGTACCAAGCTTTCTGTACCTCCTCCTCCTCACAGTGAGCAGCCAGTGGGGCGGCAGTTTTGGAAATCTGGAGATGTTAAAAATAAAATAAACTTGATCTTTTTGGCACAGTACTATGAATGCCTTTTTGGTAGTAAAGCTGGCCTGCGAAAGAGGGCTGGAGGAGAGTGAAACTGCTTCAGTGCTGCTACTGAATCCCTGAGCCTTCGTTTACTTCACTGTGAGGCAGAACAGAGCAATGCTTCCAGCTGAGCTCCTGTTAAACCTGGCTGCCCCTCAAAAGAGCTTTGACCACCAACCTGCCACCTACCATCATGCTCCTCATGCTCCACTGACCTCTCTGACAACTGGTTCAGGAAGCTATCAGGGGAAAAAAAAAAAAAAAAAAAAAAAAAAAGTGATTTGGTTTTCAGGGTTGGCTTAGTTTTTCACCGCACCAGCCTGAAGTTGCCACAGATGTTGGACAAGCACAGAGGAAGAGGAGAAGCAGCAGCTGGTGGTCAAGGGCAGGAGAGGAGACATTCTACCCTCCAGCAGCAGCTAGCCCTTACACCGGTTCACCAGTAAAGTCAAACCACACCATGAGCTCAGCTAACAGGAATCTAGCGTGGGCAACATCAAGGCATGAAATCTTCAGACTGTAGATAACGACATTTGCTAGAGGCTAAAATAGGACTTGAAGTCTAACACAACTATCTTAAGTGTCTATGTAATTCATTCCCACAAGACAAAGAGGAAACAAACAGTCCATCTGCACATCTTTACCTCTTGAATAAATGGTTGCATTGCACTCATCCAACTGAACTGTAAGAACTTAAAATTGGCAGTACTGGGTCAGACAAAAAGCCTCTAATGTCCTGCCCTCAGGGAAGATGGAAAGAGAAAGCTAAGGAGATATTTATCCCAAACACTCTCCCAGTGCCTGACCCTTCAGGGACTTTCCCCATCTATCAAGTGCTAGCTTAGTTTCATACCCCTATTGCCTCTGTCTGAAAACTCAAGAAACCATTATAGCTTTTGCACCTTGATTTAGTATTCTCTTTTCTGGCAATCAATACAAATGTATTAAGGCAACCTTATGCCCACGTTAAAACCTTCCCTCCCATCCACCCTACACCAACAGAATGCGAAATCCGAAAATGCTGTGGACCCTTCAGCGATGCTACTCCCGACTTCTCACCAAAGGAGCTTGCAAGTCACTTTCATATAAAGCTTGACTCGAAAGCTGAAGCAAGTATAAAAATTTCCCCTGTGGCAGGCTAATACCAAGATGACATGACTGTACTTGCTCCTAACTGCAGGGCTCCTCTCCTGTAAGGTTGAAGTAGCCATCCTGAAACTCCAAATGTCCGCAGGGTGGGGAGTTTTATCAGGACAAATTCATGTAGACAAGCCCTTCAACAGTGCAACTGCTAGGAATGAAACAGCAGTTTTCAGGCTCAGACATGGGCCACAACTTCTGTGTTATGTTCTGTCTCCTTCAGAAAAACCTACCCTACCTTCAAAGTCATTAGTAAAAATGCTAAGCTTTATTTCAAGCTTATGTATGCAAACAGCAGGAAAATTTCCTACAAAACAAATCAAGATAAGTAATTATTTAGTAAAGGAAAACTAAAAGAAAGCCTGCTTTAATATTAATTCACCGCCTTCCATCCACTTAACATATAAATTCATCAGGTTTTATTAGGCAGAAAAAGAACAGGGAGAAAAGCTAGAGGGAAATACCGACACAAGCATTTAGAAGATGTCTGACCACAGACTTAATATGAACAATCTACCTCCCTTGGGAGCAGCAAGCAGAAAAGCAATAAAAGACATCAGTTTCTACATACAGAAGTGCTCTTAGGCAGCATAATTTAAATGGATGGGAAAAACACTATTAAAATTTTTTTCATATTCATCACATTGAGGGGAAAATGTGGAATTAAACATCAGACTAACTGTACTGGGTACAAGCTACTGTTAATTTTCACAAGGTTTTATGGGACAGAGCTGTTTAAAGGTAAAACAACCTCCTACACAAAACTAGTTTTCCTTCAGAATTTGATCATCATTGGGTTCCTTACAACTTCTTTTAAAAATCCCAACACTTACTTTATGAGGTACCAAAAGAGCAATAAATTTGATAGCTCAGGGTATCACACATGCCATATCACTGGTTATGGACCTATTAACATTCCCATTAAAACCAGTCCCTGGGTTTGAGTTTGAAATGCGACTGTAAAACTCTGCCCCAGGCCAAAACTTTGTAAAACATAGCTGCTCTCAGTGCAGCGACAGTTAAACAACTATTTTACAAGATGTGTTTGGTTGTTTTATGATACAAAGAAAGTTCAGATTTCAAGACTATGATGCTTATTTGGGTTCTTCTAAATTCAAACCAGACTGGTTTCTAATGCCGCCATTACAGATCTCAGTTTAAAAGAGCAGCTTTAGAACTCTTGGTATTAAAGAGACAAGTAGCATGCTATTATGGAGCAGAAACAAGCTACAGTCAACTAGAAGGTAGATTTAGATTAGACGTAAGACATTTTGTACGATGAAGGTGGTGAGACACTGGAACTGGCTGCATCTGTAGGTGCCGCATTTTTGGAAGTATTTGAGGTTGGACAGGGCAACCTGAGCAACCTCATCAAGTGAAAGATGTTCCTGCCCATGGCAGAAGGGTTGGACCAGAGGATCTTTAAAGGTCCCTCCCAACTCAAACCACTGTGCAACTCTACATTGTGTCTGGAGACTTAATTCTGTTTTATTTTATTGGATATTGTGATGAAAACAGAGCTGGGGCACATCTAGACTAATGGGCTAAAAGCAAGTGTGGTCAAACTTGTTTGTATGCAAAGCTGTGTGCCAGCTATCCCTTCAAGCTTCTGAGACTAAATACTATTGTTCTCCCAATGCAGCACTTCAGAAAAAACACCCATATTTCTCAGTACTGTAAACATTTATTCCAAGCTTGGGGGGAGGAGTGAAGCAAACCAATCCTGGCCTGGTGATGTTCAGTGGGTCTGCTAAGATGCTGCAGTTGTTATCAGACTATGATGTGTGTTATCCTTCAAGATGATTTGCTCTACTGTGGTGGAGTACCTTAGGTTTAGGAAAGTGTATGGGAGACAGTTAACTGAGATTAGAAGATAAAGCTTTTCAGGAAAAAAAAATAAACAAATCCAACAACAAAACAACAGTCTACACTTCATAGCTTCTCAAATCAATTACAATAAAGCACTGGTGATCTTTTGGGTCATGAATGCCTGCCACTTTCATTACTTAAGTACCAGTTACATTAGGCAAGAATAAAAGTTGCTTTATTTTACAAAAAAACCCCACAAACCGACGAGATAACTGAATCCTTCTACAAGTCATTTGCTGCTGAACGTGTCTCCTGCTATCACTTCTTATGAGCACTGCATATTCTGCACATTTGCTAACTAAATCAGGAACAAAATCAACATTATGACTTCCAGTAACACAACCAAAGTTCAAACTCATGTTTCACTACCAGCTCTGAATTCTTAGCAACTAAATAATTTCCACTAATGAGACAGTAAAAATAATTTTTAAATGTTTAAATTGACTAAAAATTGATCAGTAAACTGATGGAAAAGTTAAAGTAGTCTCATAAGGGAAATCGTTTCAATGCCAGTAATGTCTTCAACATTAGCAGTTTGATAATATATTAAAAAATAATTGAAAACATAAACAAAACTGTTCCTCATACTAGTGTTGGCAGATGGCCAACAACACAGCATTAACGAGTTCATGTTACAAGGAACCAAGCTGTAATTATCCACACTGTGACTTCATGTTGTGCTTTGTAGATACTATGAAATTTTATAATGTTGGTCAACCTCCATATTCTGATCCCCTTCTCAGGCTTGAAGGCATCAACATCTAGGAGCTAAAGCCCCTTCTAGGTTGTATTGCTGCAAAATAACTCAGTCCTTCTCAAATCAAACCTATAAAAATATGTAAGAATATATAAAATATATTTTAAAATATAAGAATCTATTAAAAATACAATAAAAATTCAGAGTACATTTCTTTCTGTGGATCTGGTGTAATAATCCTAGAAGACTTTGAAATATTTTAAGTTTTT